CCTGCCACAACGCCTGGCTGTTTTTAAGAGGCAGGGGTCTTGTTCTTGCTCAGGCTGGTCTCAAACTCGTGAGCTCAGGTGATCTGCCTACGTTGGCCTTCCAGAGTGCTGGGATTACAGGTGTGAGCCACCACCATGCCCAACAAATCACTAGACCTTTATGTAGTCCTTAAATATGAACTAACCAATTAAGCTCTAAGATCAATACATACTTCATGTGTTTAGTTAGCAGATACTTGTTAAATATCTACTATGTGTCAAGTATATTTCCAGATTTGGGGAAATAGCTATAAACTTTAATCAAATTTCCTGCTCTCTTAGAGCTTATATTCAAATAGAATAATGAATTAGAACCTAGAAAGACAAGATCATTTTAAAATAACTGACAACCCAGGCTGTAAGACTTGTCTATAGCCTGAATAATAGGTTAACAAAAAGAATCTATCTTGCAGTGGCAGTCTATGGGTTTTAAACACTCAAAGGAATTAAGTCAGTTTAAGGAATTGCTACTTGCCCACAAGTCTAAGACCTCTGCTAGTGAGATTTTAAAAAGAAAGGAAGGAAGGGAGGGAGGAAAAGAAAAGAATGAAAGAAGGGAGAGAGGAAGGGAGGAAAGGAGAGAGAAAGAAAGAAGTTGCTTACTTCCTTTTTCTCCCAATTCTCTTCCCCTCACCTCAATCACTAAGCACATTTCTTTTCCACTTACCACCCCCACCACACACAGAGATTCTATCCTCCTAGGGAATAATAAAAGGTAGGGGGAGACATTAAATAACAAGTGTGGACTCAGCTCCCATAGCTCAGTGGTTAGGGCACCAGCCTCATACACCAAGGCAGGTGGGTTGGAACCTTGCCCAGGCCTGCTAAACAACAAAGACAACTGCAACAACAACAACAAAAATAGCCGGGCATTGTGGCAGGTGCCTGTTAAGTCCCAGCTACTTGGGAGGCTGAGGCAAGAGAATCGCTTAAGCCCAAGAGTTTGAGGTTGCTGTGAGCTGTGACATGGCACTCTACCAAGGGTGACATAGTGAGACTCTGTCTCAAAAAAAAAAGGAGAGAAGTGCTAAATTGGTGAGTATTTTATAGTTATTTGCCATGATCAGTTATATAAATTTGAAATTAAAATTAGCAAAAATTTTTTTGATTATCAGAATATCAGACTAGGTCCTGTAAAGTTTATTAACTTTTATAAGAAGCAATATAAAATTAAAGAATATTTGGGTAAATCCTGGAAGTGTTTTGTTTCGTGTTATATAGACAAAGCTAGAAACTCTACTTAATTGCATGATTTTAAGAAAAGCAGTGGAAGCAGTTCAAAGTCTGCCTTATAGATACAAAATTCTGGTTTGCCCAGCTGAAGCAAGTTCAAGATTTAAAGGAGACAAATGTGTATTACCTGTATTTTTGTTTCTTAAGTCTCAATATTCTCTGCTGTTTGGGGAGTGGGGTCACTACCATTCATTCAAACAATATTTCTTAAGCTCTATAGTGGTCTGGCTCTCTTCCAGGTTCCTGTTATCTTAGCCTTTACCTTTTAGGAGATGTAGACAAGTGTGTGTAACAAATATGTATCAGGTACTGCTAGGTGCTCTGAAGAAAACTAAAGCAGGATAAAAGAGATAGTAGTGTCTGGATGAGAGTAATGTTACATGGAGTGATATTTGATAGAAACCTGACAAAATGAAGGAGTAGTTCTATATAGGAGAGGAACATTCTAGGCAGAGGTTCTAAGAAAGGAACATGCTTGATGTATTCAAGAGTCACCAGAGAGTCTGAACAAAGCAGGACAAGTTTAAGATCTGAGTTGCCAGTTGAGCTGTAGTTAAGTATTTAAGATATCTACTAGATATCCAAGTGGAAGTATCAAATAGGCAGTTAGATGTATGATTTGGAGTAAAGTAGAAAGAATTAGGGTTTGAACAACTAGCAAAGGAGACTGAGGAGGCTCATCACCTGTAGCACAGTGGTTACGGTGCCACCAAGGCTGACAGGTTCGAGCCCAGCCTGGGCCAGCCAAACAACAATGACAACTGCACCAAGAAAATAGCCAGGCATTGTGGCGAGCACCTGGTAGTCCCAGCTACTTGGGAGGCTGAGACAAGAGAATCACTTGAGCCCCAAGAGTTTGAGGTTGCTGTGAGCTATGACACCACAGCATTCTACTGAGGGCAACATAATGAGATGTTGCCTCAAAAAAAAAAAAAAAAAGGAAACTGAACAGGAGTGATCATGGGAATAGGACAAAGATGGCCAAATGCAAATAGGTTCAGTAAGGAAAGAATCAGCTATTGGATTTAGGAACATAAGAATCATTAGCAAACTTGTGATCTAAAAGAACAGTTTCAGTGAAATTGTAAAGGTGGGATCCACATGAGAGTGAGTACAAAAACTGATGCGATGAAGTGGAAACAATGGATTTAACTGGCTTTTTAAAAGAAGTTTTTGTATAAAAAGAGGATAAAGAAATATATTAGAAAGAAGGTAGGTATCAAATGGTAAAAAGAATTGTTAAAATGTAGTGTTCTAGTTAAGGCACATAAATCCACTTGAGATGTATTTATTAATCCTTTCTGTGTTTCAGTCCAGTTTACAGATGGCAAATAAAAGCTATGGGAAAAGGATCTAGGGATGAAGTCACAATGAATTTCTCTTATTCTAAGTGTATAATTATTAGAATATGGTTTTTAATGGTCTGTGTATATGTGCAGTATCTCATTTAATCTTTATAACATTTCATTGGGATAAGCATGATTATCCTCATTTTAGAAATGAGGAAGCTGATGCTTGGGAAAGTTAAATAACTTTCCTAGTTCATTGAATTAGGCTGAACCATGAAGACTGCTCTAGGTTTGTAGGAATGTGTAAGTATGATGATAGGTTATGCCCAAAGCAAATATTAGGTGATGCAAAGCATGTATGTAAGCTAAGGTGCTCCCCATTGCCTCCATTATGTTCTCTGGGACTAGTACCTGGGACATAAGTCTAGGCAGCTTGGATAAACTGAGATGTCTGCTAATCTGAAAAGTTAGAGACTTAGGGAATTATACCTGTTATGCCACCAGCTACATCAATATTCAAAAATAACTTCTGCTACTATATACTATAATATTTCTGCTGCTCAGCAAGCATCATACCAAAAAAAAGTTTTGTGAATACCTCAAAGATGTGGAATCAACGTAAAAAAGATGAAAAAAGAGAACAACTCTATAGCTTGTTTGGCTTTATATTTATATGTTTTCTTATATTTTTAGTATTTAGAAAAATATTGTACAGTGTACTAGCTGTGTCACCTTGGGAAAGTTACTTCACTTTTATGCCTTAGTTTTTTCAACTCTTTTTTTTTTTTTTT